ACGGGCGGCGACAGGCAGTAGATGGGCAGCTGGTAGCGGTTGCCCAGCTCGTCGTAGCACTCGCACAGGGTGCCTGTGGGGAGGCAGGGCCGTCAGTCGGCGCCCAACCCGCTGCCAGGGACCGAAGGGGTGCCCCCGAATTCACATGTTGGAAACCTAACCCCCCGTGTGGCTGTATTGAGCTGAGGCCTATACAGGAGGAATTAAAGTTAGGTGAGGCCATGGGGTGAGGCCCTGATCCGACAGAATTCGTTCGTGTTTTTTTCTGAGACAAGATCTTGCTCTGTTGTCCAGGCTGGTCCGGAACGCCTGGACTCAAGCCACCCTCCCGCTTCAGCCTCCTGAGTAACTGGGACTACAGGTGCATGCCGCCACAACTAGCTGGCTTGCTGTCTCCCCCACACCACCCCCAAGGCCCCAGCACCAGGTGAGGACACAGCTAGAAGGCGGCCATCAGCAAGCTGGCAAGAGAGCCCTCCCCAAGAGCTGAACCGGCCGGCACCTTCATCCCAGCCTCCAGAACCATGAAAAACAGGTGCCTGCCGTTTAAGCCACCCAGTGTGGAGCATTAGCAGACTCACACACCCGCCACGGCCACCCACAGTCAGGCCTCCCTGGGACGGCCTCCCGACCACAGTAGCACAGGCCTCGAGTCAGGGAGACCTGGGCTGGCAGCCTGGCTCTAGCAGGTTCTGGCTCACCCAACCCCGGCGCGTTTCTTCACTTGTCATGGCTCACGTGGGCCGGGGCTGGGGTTACGAGGCGGAGAGAAACAGCACACATGGGCCTCAATTTCTTTTTTTTTTTTTTGAGTGGGAGTCTCACTCTGTCGCCCAGACTGGAGTGCAGTGGCCGCTCCCAGCCTCCGTAGCCTCAACCTGCTGGGCTCCGGCGATCCTTCTGCCTCAGCCTTCCAAGTAGCTGGAACCACAGGCGCACGCTACCACGCCCGGCTCATTTTTTATTTATTTTAGAGATGAGGTCTCGCCAAGTTGCCCAGGCAGGTCTCGAACCCGCGGGCTCAGGCAATTCACTCACCTCAGCCTCCCACTCACCTCAGCCCTTTATCATGGTATTTCCAAGTTCATGTTGAGCTTTCACATCCACTATTTAATTTCTTTTTTGTGGCAATGCAGTCTTCATCTGTAAAAAAAGAATTATCACAGTATCATTCCTGACAATACTAAATGGTGGCAGAACCTACTCTTGACCTCAGGTTTTACTTGAAATTCTATGTTCTTTCACCATGTCATGCCCTAGACTATATTTCTAGGATGGAATGATCTTGTCTTTCTCTATCTTTTTCCCACCCTGTCTATTCATTTGTATAAAAACCTTCTACCACTACCCCAGAGCTGCCCATAACTTGATTCTCAGTGTCTCTTTAAGAGAAAGACATTTTTATTTAGCGTAAATTCCTCTTGTCCCAATTTAAATCTGGTCTTTTATTATTCATTCATTAGAAATATAGAATATTCAGATTTTTAATTGTAATCTTTGATGAATTCTCAAATACCCTCTCAAATTTTTTAGCTTTAGGCTAAAAATTTCCAATTCCTTATATTTTTCCTATCATTTAGTAAACTGTGTATTTTCTTTGCACTATATCTATGGGGAAAGACAGACACTGAACAATTGATTTTGTGTGTGAAGTGCTATAAAGGATCCCAGAATATATGGACACATATTTCAGGAGAACCACCATCCCTTTGGAGACAATATTGGTTGTCCAGAGTTTTGACTTTGTATTATTGGCTTGTTGGTATCCATTGTTATCTATTTTATATCTAATTGGATGGGTCATATTCTTTTTCTACATGGTCTTCATTATTCTGACTGTTCATTCGTTTAGACTATTAATAAGAAAGTCTTGGGCATAGCTAATATTTATTGATTGCCTTTATGTGCTAGGCATTGTTCTAAGAATTTTTTCAACAATTTTATGAGGTGGATGTTACTAACATTCTCATTTTATAGCTGAGAAAATGAAGGCATGGTGTGGCCAAAAAAAATCACTCAAAGTCACATAGCTGATAAATTAGAATTTTTTGAAAAACGTTTATATCTTCTAAAACCATACTGTCCAATAGAACTTTCTGCCAGGCTGGGACTGTTCTATGCTGTTTGATATAGTAGCCACCAGCCACTATTGACTGAAACTGGCTAGTCTGACTGAAACTGAAACTGACTGAAAGATCTTTAATGTTATTTAATGTTAATTACTTTACATCTAAATTTAAATAGGCACACATGGTGGCTACTGCCTTGGACATCACAGCTCTAAAAATAAGATCCATGAAGGCAGAGGATTTTATTTTTTGTCTATTTTGCTCGTTGCCAAATTCATGTTGCCTAGAACCTTGCCTAATAGGTAGTAGATGTTTTATATATCTTAATCTGATGAATGAATGAATGAATGCATGAATAAAATAATATATACAACTTAAGTATATGTGAATATTTGAGTCATATTAAAATAAAAACAAATAAAACATTGTTGAGGTACATTCAGTCTCTTTCTTGTTTGTTTATAGGTTCTGGGAAATGGCTCTTACATTTACAGGTCTCAAGCTGCAGGGATCACTAGGTCGATTTGGCAAAACAGCTACTAGTGATATAGAAGGCTACATGGAGCTTCCGGATGGGAAGGTGAGTATAGTCACTCTTCTACAAGAAAAAAAATTTCTTTTCTTTTTTTTTTTTGAGTTGGAGTCTTACTCTGTCTCCCAGACTGTAGTGCAGCAGCACGTTCCCAGCCACCGAAGCCTTAACCTGCTGGGCTCCAGCGATCCTTCCGCCTCAGCCTTCCAAGTAGCCGGAACTACAAGTGCGCGCTACCACGCCCAACTAAAAAAATTTTGTTTTCAAGCACATTTATGAAGGCATTCATGTATGAAAACATATCATAGCCTAACAAGCTCTATTAATATTAATAACAGATTTTATAGTTGTAAATGTAATGAACATTTAATTTTACTTCTTCAGATTATCAATTGTAATTGGAATATTTTCTTGAAATTGTCATAATTCGTACGTATATACCATTTTCTGTTTTCTTTTTACTAAATATTTTTTAAGGGAGATTCCCCCCCCCCCCCAAAGAAAGGAATTATCTTTTGGAGGGTGGAACCCTTGTAGTACACTCAGAATTTGTTACTCAGGATCAAACGGTAAACCAAAGTTTTTATCTGGAAGTTTTGAGAAGGTTGTGTCACAATTTGTGGAAGAAACGCCCTGAGTTGTGGCAGACAGGTGACTGTTTCTCCCACTATGACAATGCACCTGCCCACACTGCTCTGAGTGTTCAGCAGTTTTTGACTAGAGACAGCATGATCCCTCGTGCCCCACCCTCCCTGTTCGCTGGATCTTGCCCCAAGCAACTTTTTTTTTTCCCTAAATGAAAAAAGTCCTCAAACAGAAATATTTTGCCGATGTGGAAGAGGTGAGACAAAAAATGGCAGAAGCACTAGAAGACATCACAATTCATGAGTTCAAAAACTGCTATGAAGCCGGGCTCTGTGGCTCAGCCTGTAATCCCAGCACTTTGGGAGGCTGAGGTGAGTGGATTGCCTGAGCCCGCAGATTTGAGACCCATATGGGCAACTTGCTGAGACCTCATCTCTACAATAAATCAAAAAAATTAGCCGGGCGTGGTAGCGCGTGCCTATAGTTCCAGCTACTTGGAAGGCTGAGGCAGAAGGATCGCCGGAGCCCAGCAGCTCGAGGCTGCGATGGCTGGGAGCGGGCACTGCACTCCAGTCTGGGTGACAGAGTAAAACTCCAACTCAAAAAAAACCCAAAAAAAAAACTGTTATGAGCAGTGGAAAAAGCATCTTGATAGGTGTATTGCATCAAACAGAGAACACTTTGAATGTTTAAACATGTAAGAAGAAATACACAGTTTTGTAAATGAATTTTGGTTGTTTTGGATTTCCCCCTGCCCCCATAAGTCTAAAGAATCTACCACAAGAGGCTGAGGCTTAATAACAGGTAAGAGTAGATGAATTTGATAGGGTAGGTAAAAAATAGGTAGACTCAAGAGCTAGAAAGACTGAGTCAAGTCTCTAGATGAGTGGAAAATGGGAATGCAAAGCCCTAGAGAAGGCAGACAAAAATTAGATCCAAGTTTCCCAAAGTGCATTTTATGAAACATCAGTCTGTACAGAAGCTCTATGAAAATAAGACTTTTAAAAGTCAGATTCCTTTGTATCTAAAAATTCTCCTTGGTGATTAAAAATTCTCTGAAGGTTCTAGAGAAAATAAACTTGTTTGACTTTGTCTTAGCATCTGCCTTCTGAGGCAGTGTAATCAGAACAGGAGCTTTTTAAAAAAAAATTTTTTTATAGAGATATGGAGTACAAATGAGGATTAACTACATAAGTAGGCTGCATGCAAGTAGAGTCTGGACTTCCAACTGGCCCTCACTCCCCCTGGTAGTGGACCAGGTACCCTCTGTGTCCTCATGTGCCCCCCACTCTCCTCCCTCCCTCCCTCCCCAGCAGTGCCCAGCAACTGCTGATCCCTCCCTTGTGTTCATGTGACTATTAGAATAGGAGCTTTTGAGCCACTTTGTCTGGATTACAATCCTGACTCCTCTGGTTAATTTTGTGCAAGTTACTTCACTATTTTATGCTTTATAAAATGGAGATAGTAGGGATACCATTGACCCATATGACTTCTTTGTGGGAGTGAAAAAAAGTTGTTTCTTCTGGGAAAATAAAGTATCCAACATGTACAACTGTACACAGCATCCCAGATAAGTGTGCCCAGTTCATACAGTTTTTAGCATGAAATAACTTAATGTATATCAATAACTTATTTAGCATTAAATAAGTTTACGTATGCTGAACACAGAGTCAATATTCAACAAATATTATGTGACACTTGCTAAATATGCTAAGAACTAACATTTGGGAGTATGCACTTTGGACAGTGTTGGATTAAATGGATTAATTTGAGGTAATTTCAGATGATTATACTTGTTTGAAATTTGGATACTGTTATGCTGTAATTCGCTTAATTCAGAAATGATTTCACAATATCTGCTAAAATTTGGTAGTTTTACACTTAAAAAGTGGAATCTCATCAAGAACTTTAAGCATATCTCAATGTTTTGACCTAGTAATTCCACTCCTGAGTTGTGTCCTAAGACATGTACCAAGAAATCTACGATATACATACATGAAAAACTATCAGCAACATATAACCTAATCTCAAAGATGTAAACCGCATAAAGCTAGAGGGAAACACATCAAAATATGATTGATTAGTGGCCGTGTCTGGGGTAGTAGGTCTTCATTTGTATATTTTCCTATTTTTCCATATTCAAACTTTTTGCTTTCATAATCGAGAAAAATTACCTTACAAATAATTTTCACCTACTATTTGAGGCATAAATATTTACACTTACCTGTTTTTGATGCACATTCCTTTCTTTCTGCACACCTTCCAGGTACTCTCAGGGTCAGAATGGGGCAACATGCTGCTTTGGGAAGGTGGGCTCATCAAAGTGGAGCTCTGTCGAACTGTAAGCAAGTCATGTCATCACGGTCCCATTAACCAGATAATGCTGGATGAGGGTGAAGTTATTACTGTTGGGTCAGATGGATATGTTAGGGTAAGTTTTCTTGACAGTAGCACTCACATAGATTACCCAAGTGATTTTGTCAGGTTTTTATTTCTCATAAAGGTTATTTGCATTTACTCCCAAAACCAACTCATTTTAAATAATACTTCTCTCATGGTAAATACTTACTTTCCTGTCAAAATTAATGTTACATCCTAGCACTGAAACTTTCTGAGGGGGCCTCTTGTTATTTTGATTCTGTTGAAATAACAGCTTCAAAAAATGAAAACCCTTGTTAGCACAAGATAAACAGTGGGCTCACGTATCCTTCCAAAAGGCTCAATACGAATGGGACATTTTCTAGAAACAAAAGTGTTGCACATTTGTTAGATTTTTTTTTTACAGAGGTTACTAATTAGAAAAACACTCACAGGTGAACTGATGGAGGTTGCCTATGGATGCCACCCTCATGTTGCTGATTATGCTTGGGAACTCACCTGCTTTCACTTGTAGACACTATCCCCCAAAACCTGGGCTAAGCTGGAACATTTTCCACCACCTAAGTCCCCTGGGTTGCTGTTGTCACACTTCTCCTTCCACCCATCCTTCCGTTAATGTGTACCTCACTGTGTCGGGCCAGCCTATAGTCTCCTGGAGACCACAAACCTTTCCCAACTCCCAGGTGTTAGTTTGATCCTAGTATCTGGCCCTCTTTTCTCCCCAGCAGTAACCTGGGAGAAGTCTGAGTGATTCAGTCTAGGATAACATGGCAGGCTATGTCAACAGAATTGTCCAGGATGGGCTTTGGCACTTCACAGGGGAAGTCCTTTGAGGCTCTCTACCACCATGAGGTGAAACTGTGCTCCCTCATTCTTCCTGTAGTGTTCTGGGCTCCTCAAGGGGCAAACAATCCTATTAAAGGTAGTGGAATATAAATTCATATTAGAGAAGAGAAACATCTTCTAATGGAGATATTATCTATATCTATTTTTTCTGCTTGTATTGAAGATGGTGCTTGAGTCATTAAGCAAGCAGGTGTATTTCCCCTTTTCTGGGGTTTATTGGTATTTAGAAAACAAGGCTCATTATAATGTCTTGCTGAACAACTGAACCATTTACTCCTTATGACCACATTATAGGAAGAAATATAATAGAAACCTTGAAATAAAGCTTATTTTGGACATATTAAAGTTTTTATGCAAGGTTGTACTTTTTCACTAATCTGTATAAACACACAAGAAACTATAATAATTTATTATACCTCAGTTCAGAGTAAAACCCCAGGGTGTTTTCATTATACCTACTCATTAATTCTCATGAAGAAGAAATGACTTTTGAAAGAATTTGGAGCACTTTCTGGCTTAGGAAATAAATATTCAGAAACTACTGATTGATTAAATTTTTTTCTTGTTAATTTTGCAAGATATGGGATTTTGAGACAATAGACACTGCTGATATTATTGATGAGAGTGGATTATTAGAGATTGAACCTATTAATGAACTTCAAGTAGACAAGAATGTCAAACTCTTCTCTATGATTAAAATGAATGAAACTGGGAATAACTTTTGGTTGGCTCAGGTATGTTACATTCTTCTCTCTTGGCTCTCTATAGTTGCTTGGACATAAAATTAAAATAGTATGATTGTCTGGACTGGAAGTTTGCCTGACTCTTAAGTGTTGTGACATTGCTTAGTGTGTGGTTGTATTCTAAAATATGTAGAAGCTGCTTTTATTAAATATCAACCACACTTTAAAATATATGTAAACTTTTGATATTATGGCTTGTCCTTACTTTAATAAATCATAGGAAGAAAATTTTTAGCAATGTGATGAAAGTTTAAAATACTATTAGTTATTTATTTTTTTAGGATGCCAATGGAGCAATATGGAAGCTTGACCTTAGTTTTTCAAATATTGTAAGTTGTCTTTTTTTCTTATTTTTCCCTAACTTTTACAGTAAAACCTTTGTTATTCTTCTTTAAAGGGTACTTACCTTTCTCCAGATTTGATCATTGTTTCCATCAGAAATTTGCTCAATGTGCTACTCCTGAAAATTATCTCTCTTTTTATGACTTGACATTAAAAAGACCTAATTCATAGCAAAATCTACCAGAAGAGTGGCAGTGACAATGCCTAACATTATAATTTCCTTACAGTGTTTATAAATATATGGAATTTCCATTTATTTTATCTCATGTGATCCTCACAGCTACCTGTTTATCCTCACAGCTACCTGTTTAGCTACCTTCATTTTACAGATGAAGAAGTGAAAACTGACCTTTGAGGTGACTTGTAAAATCACACAGCCATTAAGTGCAAAGCCTGGTTCCCTAATTCCAAAGTTGAGCGTTCTATCTAACTTTTTAAAATTTTGATTCAAATAAAATCACACGTGTTATACAGTTCTATTTGCAATACTTTACACTGGACCTTAATTCTGTGTTACCCTGTCTTTGAGATTTAGTAAGCTGTCTGTCTATTTTCAGACCCAGGATCCAGAATGCCTCTTCTCCTTCCACTCTGGAGCTATTGAAGCCTTGGCTGTTTCTCCCGTCACTTATCTCATGGCCACGGCTGCTTCAGATTGTATGTAGGGACTCCTGATGAAAATATGTCTGCACTTGTTTTGTTTTGTTTTCAATAGTTTTTATATGGGTTTGATTACAAGCATTTGGGAATTTTTCCAAAACAAAAACTCCTTAAATGCAAATGAGGTTGAGTTGTGAGGGAAGAGGGCACAAAGGGTGGCAGCCATGGTTTTGTGAGAGATGAAAATAAGGACACAGTTTGTAAATTGTCCATGAAAATGCTACTCATTTTGATATTGTCTACATTTGTGCTTTTCCTATTCTTTCCATCTCTTTTCCTCCTTCATATCTTATAGCAAATATATAAGGACTGTACAAGGGTAAATGGATGCATCAGTCGGTTGTCAGTTGTCTTCTTTACTACTAGTGTTTATGAATTACCTATTTGAGGTTAGATATAGAAATTTTTAACTAAATCGGGCTTATCACCTGATTTAATTGTGAAATTTCTTATTATACTCAACATGTAAAAAGTGAGCCAAGATTACTTAAAAAGATATTATGTGTATAACTTTTTTCTTTTAAAACTATCTTTCTACAGGCTCTATTCGAATCTATGATTTTGCTAGCAAAACTCCTTTGGTTCAGATGAAATTCAAACAGGGAGGTACTGCCCTTGCTTGGGTACCTCGACTGGTAAGTCTGTTGTTATAATGAACTGCGACCAGAATCTGCTGGAAAACATGGCATATCAATGCTATTTCTTGGAAATATAGGTATTTTCTGACTCAGAATTTTGAGAAGAATAAAAATTTTACGTTATTTTATTTAATCAGAATGTGATAGAAATCATATAATAACTATTTTCAAGGGTTTGGTCTTGTTTTTAATTAAAATTCTATTTTTGTGCCACTTGGAGATAATAGCTCTGTGTTGCAAAGTAATTACCCAACAGGACTTTGTGTATCTAGCACACACAGAGTCCATCTGACTCTGATTTCATTCATCCTATTCATACTTCCACAGTGCCTGCAATGTGCCAGACCTTATTGTACATTCTGGTAATATAGCAGTGAACAAAAAGACAGAAGTAGTTCCCCTCATGGACTTTATACTTTAGTAGGAAGGAGGCAGACACAGATAGTAGACAAAAAAATAAGTTAAATATGTGTTATGTTAGATGATAAGAGTTATAGAAAAGAGTTAGGCAGGGATAGGGAGTTGTTCCAGTTATATACTTCTGTGTAATAAACTATCTCAATATGTAGTGGCATAAAACAACCTTCCTCATTTTTTGCTTACATACTTTTTGGTTGGGAATTCAGGTAACAGCAGGGCTGGATGGTCTCTGCTTCAGAGTGTCTGGGAACTCAGCTGGGAAGACTTGAATGGTTGGGCCCTGGAATAATCCAAAGTCTTCTTGATTACAAGATTGACACCTGGGTTAGATGACTTGAAGACTGGGCTAAGCTGACTGTCAGCAGCAGCGTTTGCTTCATAGTCTCTCCATGTTTCATTACAGCATGGTGGCCACTTCATACATGTTGACACAGGACTCCAAGATCTAATGTTCCAGCAGACAAAGCAGAAACTGATGGCCTTTTATGGCATATTTCCCAGAAGTCAAAATATTGCTCCTACCACACACCTCAATTGGGCAAAGCAGTTACACAGCAGATTCAAGAGGAGGGGACTTAAATCCCATCTCCCCATGGTAGTCATGTCAAAAAATTTGCAGCCATGTTTTGTTTTGTTTTTTTTTGAGTTGGAATCTTACTCTGTCGCCCAGACTGGAGTGCAGTGGCACGCTCCCGGTCCCCACAGCCTCGACCGGCTGGGCTCTGGCAATCCTTGCACCTCAGCCTTACAAGTAACTGGAACTAGAGGCGCATGCTACCACGCCCGGCTAATTTTTTGATTTATTGTAGAGATGAGGTCTCGAACCCGCGGG